AAATATCCGGAAGGGAGATTACATTTCTGTGTTGTTTTAGAAGATTCACTGGAGCCAAAGGGACAAGCCACTGGGAAGCAGACATTGCTTCATGTGGCCCCTCGAGGGCACAGTGGGCTTTGGAGGAACTGGGAGCTGTCATTAAAGTGTTCAGGCAGCAGAATTTGGAGGACTCCCCTCTCGGGGGTGGTTGACTCGATCCCACGCACATCAGTGGAGCTCCTGCTATGCACCGTGATGGGACAATAGCTAGAGGATACAGATGTTAGCACACCTTCGCCTACACGACACCGTGTGATTAGAGCTCTAGTAAAAGTATGTGCAAGGGTGATAGGAGAGGGAGGGAGGTGGAGCTTCCCAGAGGAGGCAACACAGACCTGGGTCTGGAGCGCAGCAGGGTGCTGAGAAAGAATTCCTAAGCAGGACAGACGGTTGGACTAAATGACCTTCCGGTTTCTAAGATTCTAAGGTTAAGATGCATTGAAAAAAATAAGCAAACCCTGCAGGTCTATCAGTATGGGCCTGGCAATATGCATTAAGGTTCATTCTTAGAGTGGAATAATATTCAGCTGGAATACAATGAATAGTTTCATATATTGATATAAAATGGTCTCCAAGATATAGTAAGTGAAAAAGGCAAGGTCTAGACACTGTGTATGATGAGCTACCATCTGAAATTTTAAAAAGAGGTCTGTAAGAACACACACACACACACACACACACACACACACAACACTTTTGTTTGCACAATGTCCCATATCTTAAGCCTAGTAACTTAGGTTGCCGTTGAGGGTGACGTGGCTGGGAGACAGGTGTGGGGAAGAAACTGTCTGACACACCCTTCTGTACCCTTAGAATTTTAACTATGTAAGTGAACTGCCTATTAAAAATGAAATTAGCCCTGGCTGGTGTGGTTCAGCGGTAGAGCGTCCGCCCAAGGACCAATGAGTCGCAAGTTCGATTCCGGTCAAGGGCACGTACCTCAGTTGCGGTTCCTCCTGGCCCTGGTCGGGTCGTGTGGGAGGCAACCGGTCGATGTGTCCCTCTCACGTCTCTCTCCCTCCTTCCCTCCCTGAGGCCTGCAGCATCCAGACCACTGTTTCCCAAACATCCACGTGCACCACTGGAGTCAACTTAGTATCTTGTAAAACTTCAGACTCTGACTCAGTAGCCCAGGGTGGTCTTGAGATCCTGTGTATCTAACCAGTTCCCAGGGACGGCCAGTGCTGCTGGTCTGGGACCACACTCCGAGGGCCAGAGCTCTGTGCGCTCCACGCGAGGCTCGTGGTTAAGCATCAACAGGTCTTGCGAAGCTGCCCCGCTCCAGAGAAGAGGAGGGACATGATGGTGGAGATGCCGACGGAGCGAGGCCCATCTCCGGTCTGGTCTGGGCCTCTCCGCCCTGCCCCTGCTTTCCATTCCCACCTACCACGGTTTGGGGGGAGCACAGACTGACAGCCCCCACCCCACCCCCGTGGCCTCCACTGCAGGGGTGTGGAGAGGACACGCGCCCGGACACAGCACTGAGCACTGTTGGAGGCCAGGCTGCTCAGACTCCGCAGCCGGAGAAATGCCTTTCTTACCTCCGCTGGCTAATGGTGGCTGTGCGCCATCCCGTTCCAAGCCCTCCCCGAAAATTCAGAAGCCAAACCAAACCTCCCACAGAAAATGAAACCAGACAGCACCTGGCACAACCTTTCCCTGGGTGAAAAGCTGATGTCTTGTTCCAGGTGTGACTGGACCACCTGCTCTGGAAGAAAGCTCCAGAGGGGGTCTCCTCACTCACCAGGGTAAGAACTGACCTGCCAACCTGGAAGTCAAGTTGCTAAACATCCCACCGCATCCCTTGCCCCAGGGGACAGGGTAGTTTTCCAGGCCACACACGTGGGTCTCCCTGATGAGGCATTTTTCTGTGTGTCAGAAGCCTGCTCTTGGCCGTGGGCAGAGAGAAATGAGCGTGGTGTGAGTTCTGGAGAGAAACCAACAGGCACATCCCCTCAGAGCTGACACCACCCCTGGCAGGAGCAGTCTGACCGCTGGAAGAATGCCAGCAAAGGCACCCTCTCCCTGTCCGTCACCCCACCCACCCGTGACCATGCCTGAAATTGTACCATATACATTCATTCTTGTGGAATGAGAAACTACATCTCTTAAAATGCTCCCACCCACAGGAGAGGTACTACACTAAGCTGCTATCAGTCATCTACACCTTAGTGTGAATTAGTCGATCACTTCTGGAATGGGCCTAGTCCTACGCCCCTTTTTTGTTGCTGTTTTGTTTTGGTATGTGCCCCTAGTGGGAACCGAACCTGGGACTCTGGTCCGCAGGCCGACGCTCCAACTGCTGAGCCAAACTAGCCAGGGCCCTACGCCTCTTTTTACAAGTGAGGATAACTGAAGCCTGGAGCAGAGGCGTTCAACTCAACGTCAGGAATCAAGGTGGCAGCCAAGTCAAATGCAGAAAGAGGCATAGGGAGGGAATGTACATACACGAGTGAGTGTGGGGATGGGGAAAGCCCCGATATAATCAAGAGGAACAGGGTGCATCTTCAAGTTTGCACTGTACAGACTAACTCAGAGCTGTACCAACTCCCCCCCGAGAAGGTGGGAGACAGCCAGAAGCTTCTCCCCACTCTGCCCCACCCTTCAGCAGAAAATGTCTTTGCAGTCTGTGTTTTTTTTAAAGTTCATTCAAATGCAACATTCTACTCCAGAATATATTCTGGTTTATTTTCACATTAAAACAATAGTGAGATTTAGTCAGATACCATTTTCCACTTACCAGATAGGCTGAGTGTTTCTGGGGCGGGAATCTGCTTGGCTGGGACAGGGTGAGGAGGCTTCCCACTGTGTGCGCCTTTGTACTTTTTTAAATTTAGTGTCCTCTGCAAATATTGCCTCATCAAAAAAATTAATACAATTTCAACTTAAAATGTGGGTGGGTCTTGGTATGGGAAAACAGGCCCTCTGGTTCTTGGAGAGAATGCAAACAGAAACAGCTTCATGTTAGACAACTGTAATATTTCTCCAGCTGTTAAATATGCACACCTTCAACCTAACGCTGTCTAGTCCACAGCGGGGGATAGCACGCAAGCATGCTCACACCTGTATTATGTGTGCTGGCGCTGAGAGTAGGCCTGAGCATCTAACGACCAGCTTTCTTATTTATTTTTTTAATATGTTTCTATTGATTTTAGAAAAAGAGAGAGAGAGAAACAGTAATATGAGAGAGAAACCTTGGTTGCCTCCCATATGTACCCTGACCAGAGATGGAGCCCACAACCTGGGTATGTGCCTTGATTGGGAATTGAACCAGAGACCTTCTGGTGCATGAGGCAATGATCAACCTCTGAGCCACACCGGCCAGGGCTAACCACTGTCTTTAAAGGCGCTGCAGACTCTGAACACAGACCAGGACCTAGATTCCCTACACTCCAGTCCGGTGATCATCTCACACCGCCTCTTGACAATGGTAAGACGGTGACAGCTGACGCCTACGGAGCACTGGGCGTGTGCCTGGTTCTGTGACGTAGACTAAGCTCCTTCAGTTCTCACGGCCACCGCACGAACGAGCTAGGATTCTAGATTATTTTTTGAATTGTACACCTGAAACCCATACAATCCCACCAACCAATGCCACCACCACCCCCAAAGGACAAAGGAGAATCGAGGCCAGATCCGGCCACTTTGACAATTTAGACATTGTCCTGAGGACAGTAGTGAGTCACTGAAGGATTTTCAGAAAGAGAAGGATTAGACTAGCTCCTATTCCCATCAGCCATGTGTGATAGGCAAGGACACTAGAGCACATTAGTGCTAACCTTGCCCAAGGTCCCACTCACAACCCTAGCAAGTGGTTGAGAGATTTGAACCAGGGGGCACACAACAGCACGTGGACACGTCCTAGCTGCCATTTCTTTTTTTCTTTTTTTTTTTATTCCTCACTTGAGGACATTTTTCCATTTTTTGTTCAGATAGAGTGGCAGGGAGAGAGAGAAAGAGAGAGAGAGAGAGAGAAACATCAACATGAAAAGGACACATCGAGTGGTTGCCACCCGCACGACCAACCAGGGCCGGGGACAAACTGCAACTGAGGTACATGCCCTTAGCGGGAACCGAACCCGGGTCTCTCTGGACCGCAGGTCGACGCTCAGACCGTTGAGCCAAACAGGCCAGGACCTAGCTGCCATTTCTTAAATAACTTCTATGTGCCACGCCATGTGCTGGTCACTGTGGTGTTTTAAGGAGGTCATCTCTATAGTGCTGTGTTGAATGCAGGAGGTGGTGGGGGTGGGAGGTGTCACCGAGGGAACCGAAGAAGAAAACAGAAGCCACGTCCCTACCCTTAAGAAGCTGACAATATGTGTAAGAAAATGACAACAACAATCCTTACATTTGTGCAACACTTCAGTTTTCAAAACCCTTTTATTATCTCATTTAATCTTCTTGACAATCCTGCCAAATAATTTTCATGATCTCTGTCCAGGATGAGGAAATCACAGTTCTCTAAGTCACACGAGGCTGCCTCCAAGATCAGCCAGCCAGCCAGGGGAGGGGCTGGAACCTGACCTCAGGTCTCATGACTCCCTGTCTGCTAAAGGGGAATGACAGGCGGCTTGACAGCCCGGCTCAGTGGTTTCCAACCTGCTCCAACATGAGGACTCCTTTTTCCCTTCGGAAATTGTTGCAGTCCTGCAGATTAGAGGAGCTATTTTGGGCGTTAGTCAACTGGGGAAATTCATAGTGGAAAAACAACCAGCCTTCAGCACAGTTACAAAGGAGACGCACAGTTTTACTCCAGACATTACCTATACAGTTGGCAGGCAATAATGGGAGTACAAATAGACATAGACTTTTCTTTATTATTGATTTTAGAGAAGGGAAGGGGGACAGGGGGAGAGAGAGAGAGAGATGTGAGAAACATCAATCAGCTTCCTCCTGCACACACGCCGACTGGGAATCGAACCCGAAACCTGGGTATGGTCCTGACCGGGAATCGATCCCACCACCTTCTGGTGTATGGGACGACGCCCCAACCAACTGAGCCACACCAGTCAGGGCCACAGAGACTTCTTGCAATAATCCCGCAGCTCATGGGCAGGTCACGGCGAGCTCAGACCATACTGCCAGGGCAGTTCAGAGGGCACATCTCCAAAGGCCATCTTCTCAACAAGGGCACAGGGCAAAGTGCACCAAAATTCGATGGGATTGGCAGCAAGTAGAGTGGAGGAATCGTGGGGAGCAAAGGAGTTTGGCCAAGGGAGACAGGTATTCCGGGAGGCCCATGGCATGTGGGTGTATATGCACTTCTTCGGAGGAGAAAGGCTGATTTTAGATGCCCAAGAGCTATTTGAGCAGTTGGGGTTAGAAGCAGACCAGAAGTAGAGAGAGTGGTCCAGAGGGAAGAAGATGCAAGTTTAAACCTCTAATGATGCCTTTGGGGTCAGATCTGTTTTGTAATTGTTTACATTGGAGAAAATCAGCACAGGGCCTGTACCACATATTCGGGAACGCCCCCAGCAGACTGTGCTCAGCATCCTGGATTCAAACACATTAGTATTTCTGCAATGAAGCATATGGGTCATCATAATAGGTGGGGCTATAGAAACACTGCAAATGACCTTGCATTAGTTCAAGACAGGGTTTGTTGCCAAAGTTTTTCATTTTCAGAGGTTTTAGACTTTTGGAGTTGTAGATAAGAGATTGGGACTTGCCCGGCCGGTGTGGCTCAGTGGTTGAGCATTGACCCACAAGCCAAGAGGTCATTGGTTCGATTCCTGGTTAGGGCACATGCCCAGGTTGTAGGCCCGATCTCCAGTGGGGGGCATGCAGGAGGCAGCCAATTGATGTTCTCTCTCATCGATGTTTCTATCTTTCTCTCTCTCCCTCTTCATTCCCCTCTTTCTAAAAATCAATAAAGAAAAATAATTTTTTTAAAAAGAAAAAGAGATTGGGAGGTAAACTAGGTGCCAGTTTGCTATGTGCTGGGCACATATTCTAAACTGATCTCCATGCATCATCTCATTTAATCCTGCATCAGCACTATGAGGTTATTATCTTTCACTAATAGTCAAGAAAAGTGAGGCTCAGAGATGTTGAGCAACTTGTCCAAAGTCACACAGCTGGTCAGTGGCAGGGCTGGGATCGAATCCCAAGTGCCCATGACTCCAAAGCTGGGAGCCCGTCTTTTGCCCCTATTCTGCTAACTTCAGTTTTGTCCAGATCCACACTCTTCAGCACTGAAATTACTCTTGGAGAAACAAAGAGAGCAACTGAAGTCCAAGGCTGGGGCAGTGGGTGCTCTCCTGTTATGGAGTGGCCACTCCTGCACCATACCGTTCCCCTGTGTGCCCGCATCGAGCTGAGCAGAACACGGACCCGCTCCGTGCCCGGGCCTGTGGAGAGGCCTCCACGCCTGGTGATCGCTCACTCACCTTCCAGAACCCGCTCAAGGCAGTATGGGCAGTGGTCACTCTCCTTGCGGCCGGAGCCCAGGAGCCTGGGTGCACGTCCCAGCTCCGCGGCCACCCCGTAAGACAGCAGTCCTCCCGGGCTTTGGTTTCCTCACTGGCAGAGTGGGAGCAATCATTGTACACTTGCCTTGTTGCTGTTGAAAGGATTACGTGAATGAGCTTGCTAAGAACTAAGAACAGAAGCATCTTCAAATAAGCACTTGATACTATTCCCATGAAAAAGCCCTTTCTCCCTCAATCAGTCCTCTTCTCTCTCCCCTGCACACGTGGCTATCTGAGCTTTTCTCCCACTTATTTGTCTGTATATCTGTTTGTTGCTGTTAAACTGTAACACCTGGCATTGAATGCTGAATGAATAAATGAAGGGTGGAAGGAAGAAATAGGGGCTCTGCCTTCAAAACCTTAAAAATTTTACTATGGAGCCCTGGCTGGTTTGGCTCAGCGGTTAGTGTTGGACTACAGTTCAGAGAGACCCGGGTTCGGTTCCCGCTAAGGGCACGTACCTCGGTTGCAGTTTGTCCCCGGCCCTGGTTGGGTCATGTGGGTGGCAGCCACTCAATGTGTACCTTTCATGTTGATGTTTCTCTCTCTCCCTCCCACTCTATCTGAACAAAAAATAAAAAAATGTCCTCGGGTGAAGATAAAAAAAAAATTTTACTATGGAGAAAGTCATCAAGGTAAAAAGAAACATATGACCATCGTCTTCCATAGGCATGTCATAAAACCCTACTTCCCGCAAAGCTGCGGGAAACGGGGGTTGCAAAATGCATGTCAGTTGCCATCCCAGCCTCCGAGGCGTTGGAAAGCTCTGCTGGGTGATGGGACCGGTCCATGTGAAATACAGCTGCAGAACAAGGTTGTGGCACTTGCCAGCCAAGGGGACAGTCAGTGACGCTGGAAGTCCAGAGCTGGGAGAGCAGAGCAATATGGATGAGTCACAGTTGTGCGTGTCATCCTTGCTCAAGGTAAAATAGGATTGTTGGGTAATGATAGAACAATGTCACAAGGCAGGATGAGCCGATGCATGCTTTCCGAGTGGTGGGCACAGCCCTGGGTATGGGGTTCAGGGGAGGGAGAGGAAGGAAGGAAGGCTTTTGGCTGGTGGTCAGGGCAGGCTTGGTGAGACAGTGGGATCTGAGTCCAGGGTCAGGGTCCTCCCGGGGCTCATACTGGCTGAGAACCCTGTGTTCAGAGTTGGCTTCTATCTTCTCTGTTCTGATCTCCCCCTGGACTGTAGCTCTTCTAGGTCTGGGTTTCTGATAACTTTATTATTATACAAATAATTTGCTTTCACTGTAAAGAACGAGGAGGAGGTAGAGGGGAGAAGGAGAAACTACAGAGAACCAGAGAGAAAAAAGAACCTATAATCCCATCTCCCCCCCAAAAAAAACACTCAATATTTTGGTGCCTGCCACCCACCCACCCTCTATCCACCCTTTTACTCACCCACTCATCCATCCTTTATGCACCCACCCATTCTTCAACCTACCATCCCTCCATCTGTATCAGAGTTCCTAGTTGCAAACAACAGAATCCACTCGAAAAGAAAAGAAACTTATTTTTAAAATATTAAGATGCTCACAGGATCCTGAAGGGAAGATAGGCAAAGAGACTCGATATTCAGGGATGACACCCAGACCACCCAGAGCTATTTTGCCAGACAAGCCATCATGGCAGCTGTCAATCAGTAACGTGTCTCACGCCACCCCCTTCCACAATGGTGGAAACTGGACCCCCAAATATCCCTTTCATTGTCCTAAAGGCCAGATGCCATTTCCAGTCCCCTTCCCCAGAATGACTGTTTCCTTAGTTGCTCTCTCAAAAATCTCATGTGGGTGCATCTGATTGGTGGAACCTAGGTCACATGCCTACACCTTAGTTGCAAGGGAATCTGGGAAAGAAACCAAACTTCTGATCTTTACTTTGGACAAGTGGGATTGAGGGTGTAGGGAAAACCCACTAAACCAAAAATACTGGTGACTATAAGTCCTGGCAAATGTCCCCTATACTACGCATGGTATTTCTTCATACCAATTACATCATTTCCTGAATCTCAGTGCCTGGCACGCAGTAGGCACTCCATACATAAGGAAAGAAAGGGAGAAAAGGAAGGAGGAGGAGATTACATACTTACATGCTGCCTTACTAAGCCAGGCTGAATGAACACTTTCCATTTGCGTCCCAAAGACTCCTCAAGGCCTCTGTGGATTATGAAGGAAGGAGACTCTTCTGCCCAGCGCAGAAGCGCAGGGCTGGCTGCCCACCCAGCAGAGACGCCTGCCCACACGACACCTCCTCCCATGGCCTGCAGCCTCTGGACCACACGAGAGGCTGAGTCAGTACTCACTCACTTTCTCTGGAGCTCACCTGTTGGCTTAATGTCACCCTGGCGGTCACTGACTCTCCTCCCCTCCCCAACCCCAGAGTCTTGTGAGGTTTTAGAAGTTTCTGAAGGCCAATGTTAAACAGTTGCTGCCAAGGCGATACTAGAGGGCTCCCGGGCTAATAAAGGTCGCTGGGAGGCCTGTTCAAGCGGATCTGTTCAAATCTGCCTGGGCCACGGGCAAGGTGTGCCATCACAAAATTATAAACTGCCTTTGAGAAGTTTATGCTGTAGTTTAATTGGCAAGAGGCAAGATACGGACTCTTAAATGATAAGGAGCTCTCTTGTTGCCCAGTGAGGTAGAAAAATGTCCCTGCTCCCAAGGTTTGGGGCCGGCCAGGTTGGCACAGGCTGGGTGAGATGAGGGACCCCGCTGAGAAGACGGGGGTGTTGAGGGGTGAAGTGGGGTATTGGCCTGGGAGCCACGGCAAACCTGCCCTCTTCCCTAACCCCTCCAAAGCAGGTCAGATTCCCATAGCTTAAATTCCTGTGGCATCAGCACCCCCCTTATCATAGCTGAATTTCATTTGGATTGATATCTGATCAATGTCTGCCTCCTCCACTCCACAGAGAGCTTGCCCCACTGTGCCCCAGGAAAGCGCTGGGTGGAGACTGCTGAGGCCCGGGTCAGGGTGAGGCTGCGGGAGGGTGCGGCTGAGACCCAGCACAAAGAGCCCCCCGCCCCCAACACACCCCTTTCCCCCAGGGAGCAGCCGCTGATGTGTTTCTGGAGTGTTCCAATCCAATTAGTGGCTCCCCTGCTCCAAGGAGGGGCCCAAGCCAACACTCCCTCTCCTGAGGTGGAGGTGGAGAGGGGTGGGGAGCGGGTGCTGAGGCCCGAACACCCTGACCCAGCGTCTCCTGGCGGCCGGCTGGCTCGCCGCCGCCTCAGACTGGCTGCTATGACAGCGCGTTTCTAGGCGACTGTTCTGGGGAATGGTCTGTTTTGGCAACCAGAGGGCCCCAGGGTAAGAGGGGCCGCAGGCCGCCCCCATTTGCATAGCAACCTCCTCCCTGCGCGAGCTGGGGCGGGCGGGTGGCCTGGCCCGCGCTCCTGCCCCCACCCCAGGCCCGCACTGCGCTGTCACCGCCTCAGTGCCACAGCCCTGCCTCCGAGGAGGTGAGGCTGCGCTGAGCTCGGGCATTTCCGGAAGGCTGGTGCCCCAGGGAGGTGGGGAAATGATGCTTGGGGACGAAACACAGAAATGGGGGAGGGAGGATGAAATATAATCTTTTCCAAACCAGAGTCAAAGTCACATGGCTTGGTAGCATTAAAATGCATTCTGGTTGTCTCACAAAATGTTGATTTAGGTGAACCCTCAGCTAAGCGCTAGGAGGGACTCAGAAAATGTTTTTTGGATCATTAAATTGCAAACGTTTGTGTGAATTTGGAAATGGGTAGGCCTGGAAAAAATACTTTCTAGCCTAGAAAAATTAGGCAGGGATATTCTTAGGAAATATTTTCACATAATGGCAGGAAGGACTGGGTGACATAGTATTATCTGAATTTCAGAAGAAACTGAAAGAGAAAATAAGTAGATGGATAACTCCTGGAGGCCCCTCTGTCCTGCACACACCCACCCCACCCCAACCACACCTGCCAGCTTCAGTCCATGATGCCAGCTGAGATACCAGGCTCAGAACCGCGGAACGACATTAACTGCCCAAGGACACATGCCCTGGGCTGGAACCTGAGAAGGGGGTTGGGCAGGGGCAGGTCACCCCAGCTGAGCGATCACATTCCCTGGCAGCTGTCCAAGGGGCAGCTCTGGCTGCACCTGTTTGTGGGGCGATTTGCTGTTATCAGTATTGACACAGCAGCAGGGCCAGGGAATAGCATAGTAATAAATAAATGAGAGAGAGGAAGGGGGAAGGCCGGAGCCACCGAGGCGAGGCAAAAATGCTGAGGTCTTTTTTTGCTTGTTGTATGTCAGCGCATTCAATCCAGTTTCCCCAGCCCTGAAATCTCTGAGGATCACCGAGCAGGCTTGGCATGGGAGCTCTGGGTCTTAAAGAGATAGAATTGCAGAGTCGGAAGCACCTTAAGATCCTTTTGTGCCAGGCATCCCTACCCAGTGATCTCAAGGTTACTTGGTATCCTCACCTGCCACTTTCGGTTTGTCAGGAATCTCAGCAGGAAGGGAGTTCCTTCATCTCTCTGCCAAGTTTCAGCATCAGGGAGACAGTATAATTAAAGTGTGCGTTTTAGAGTTAGTCAAACCTAGGATCAAAACCTGGCTGTCTGGCTGCGTGATTTTGGATATGTTAATGAACGATTCTGAACACCCCCCCCTCGCCCCCCAAATGGAGAAAATAGTAAGTACTATTCATTTTTGCAAGGATGCAAGAGATAATATAAGCAAAGGCCTAGGATAATTCCTCTGTATATGTTCACTTGGTTGCTATTATTACCTATCAACATCCCCTTGGGTCTCTTTTGAGGCTCTGGAGAAAAAGCAAAAACAAACAAACAAACAAAAACCTGGAGAAACTCATCTGTTCCAGAAACGAGAGAGGGGAAGCAAGAACCTGACACACTCTTTTTCCCCTAAACAGGGCCGAATGGGCCTCTTGGTTTCTCAGCTCTGTTTCTAGTTTGGGGGCCTGGAACTCACCTCTGTTCTAGTACAGTGTGGTGCAATAAATGGGATGCAAACAAACCTGGTCACCAGAAGCCACCTGATCAAGCCCAGAGATAAACTGCCCTTGTGAAAACTACTTGCAATGAGTCACTGCCATGTTTCAGGCAGTGTAGCAGCTAAGAAGGAGGATTGAGCTGTCAGATCGTTGGACTCTAACCCCAGCCTGGATATCTACTCGTTATGTGCCTGTGACAGGTTATTTAACCTCGGAGAGCCTAGCTCTCCTTATCTGTAAAATGGCCGTAATAATGCCCCATAAGCTTGTTGTGAGGCTCTAATGCATGAAAAGCGTGCAGTGAATGCCTGACACAGAGAAAGTGTTTAATCAAGTTAGTACTTGTGGTCACTGCTGTTAGATGAATGAGGCCAGGGACTGTGCCATATTTGTCCCTGTATCTCCAGACCCTCAAACAAAGCCTGCCATTTGGTAGAGTACAGTAGTGTGTGATGAATGAATGAATGAATGAATGAATGAATGGCAAGGCCCCTGCCCTCAAAAAGTTAGATCTCCGGCCCTGGCCAGTTTGGCTCAGTGGTTGAGCGTCAGCCTGCGGACCAGAGAGTCCCGGGTTTGGTTCCTGCTAGGGGCACGTACCACACACACACACACAAAGTTAGATCTACCCAGGAAATGTAAGACATAAACTGCCTATGTACTCACATGTAGGAGTCAGCAGAGGGTTAAAAGCCATTCTGCCAGTCCCCAAGCCCCAGAGGCAGACAGTCCCTTTGATCCCTCAGTTTCATCTATCCAGGATGCTTTCAAGAGAGGAAAACAGGAAGTATCCCTGATAGCCCAGCTTGCTCTGCTTTTTTTTTTTAATTATGGGGGGTGGGGGAAGAATGGTCCTTTGGGTCACATTTTGCCAGGAAATCAGCTTCCCTCCTTTCAAATGCCGGGGCTGCCAAAGGGACAGATAGCTTCTTACTCAATGCTGGGAGGAAGATTTGTTCCAGAAATGGCAAGGCTGACAGGTTGGGGTTCCTTAGTGGACAGCAATACAGTTATTAGACTGCAGGTGTTTGTAGAGCATCTGGCCCTTTGCACTCACTCACTCACTGGCTTGCCTGCTGCTGACGCCATGCCCAGCCTTGGGCTGGGCCCTGGGGTTAGTGACTCAGTATCTAGTGTCCAGGAGATGAACAGTCCAAGACAAAGGACAGTGAGTTCAGAGAAGATGGGTTGAACACAAAAAAATGAGAATACTCTAAAGGAGAGAAACAGCAACAGTCAAGGGAAAGCATTTGTAGGAAAGAAAAATAAAAGAGAACAAAAGAAAAGTCCTGGAGAAGCATTAAATACAGGAGGAAGAAAAGAGAGCTTCTGAGAATGTGCAGCCAGCCTAGCAAAGGCCTCCTATAGATCGCTGGGCCCAGAGTGCATGCAGAAGGGCCACAACCTCTGGGGACACACAGGACAGCAGGTGTGGACAGAAGTAGGAAGGAGAATAACAGCTTAAAGCTGCAGATCTGACTCTGACCTGGCCAGCCTCGAAAAGAGAGCGTCCTCCGCTAACCCCCAGGGTGCTCACCTCACATTTCTGTTTAATTTATTGTTTAATAAGGTCAGTTGCACATTTGCCCATGATGGGCAAGAGAGAACTTTCTAGGAAAGTGGAAATAGTCTATATTGTGATAGATGTATAGTTTACATGGGCAAATTCATGTGTCAATATTCCACAGTTAAGATTTCTGCATTTCAATGCTGGTAAATTTCACCTACAAAGAACTTAAACGAGCCACAGATGGGAGGGGTGCAGGTAGGGATGGAAGAGATGAGCCCAAGCTGCGGAGAGATGTGTGTGAGTTCATGGCATCCTTTGGTTGAGTTTGAATTTGTTTGACACTTTTCATCATAAAAAAGAAAAGCTTTTAGAAACTGCCCATACGTGTCACTGTTGTCCTCAAGCAAGTCCCTTTCGGGTTATCAGGAAGGTGGCTGAGACATTATCTAATCCAGGCTTCCTGTTGTAGATGAGGAAACAGAGGTGCGCCTTGACTTGTGGAAGGTGTTCTAGATAGCGGCAGACCTGACGCAGGATCTCAGGCAGGAGCAGCGCCCTTTTGACCTTTCAACTCCCACCCACTGTGGGGAATCTGCTGGAATTTGCCCCTTCCCCAGGGTTGCCTTTCCAACCCCCAGGCCCCGGTTTTGATGGCAGGGAGGCTGTGTAGGCCGGAGGGGTCTCTAGGCTGCAGACCTCTTTGCTCTTCACTGTGTTCACTCTGAAAGGTGTGGGGACCCAAAATAACCTTTTCTTCCACCTGCTAAGAGTCCTAGCTGGGCTATTAATCAAATTAACAGGAGTCAGATTAACAGGAGAAAATATCCAAAATGTATTACAGATATGAGATCCAAAAACACATTGGGCAGTTGAGGCTTATGTGCCATTTTGGGCAAAGGAGAAGGGGGGCAGGAGGCTGGGATTTCCACCGAAAGCAGGTAATCCACAGGGAGATGGGAAAGAGCAAACGTGCTAACCAATTCTTGCTCACCTGAGAAACAGTGGGCAGAGGGGAGTCTCTCAGACTTCCCTGGACCCCCGTCTGCCACACTTACTTCTGTGCGAGGGTGAATATGCTAAGGCACCCTCCCTGAAGCAGCTTTTCTACCTAGATTCCTCAGGCAGGTAAGGAGGAAGGTCAAAGGTTCTTTCCAAGTCTTATGTTTCTTTTTTTTTTTTTTAACAAATATTTTTATTTTTTTCTTTATTGATTGATTTTAAAGAGAGAGAAAGGGAGCGGGAGAGATATAGAAACATTAATGAGAGAGAACATCGATTGGCCGCCTCCTGCATGCCCCTCACTGGGGATCGGGCCCAGAACCTGGGCATGTGCCCTGACCAGGAATCAAACCGGAGACCTCTTGCTGCATGGGTTGACGCTCAACCACTGAGCCACACTGGCTAGCCGGGACAAGTCTTTTGTTTCTTTCTTTCTTTTCTTTTTTTTTTTATCCTCACCTGAGGACATTTCTCCATTTTTTTGTTCCGATAGAGTGGGAGGGAGAGAGAGAGGAAGAGAGAGAGAGAGAAACATTGACACAAAAGGGACACATCGAGTGGCTGTCACCCGCACAACCCAACCAGGGCTGGGAACAAACTGCAACCGAGGTACGTGCCCTTAGCGGGAACCGAACCCAGGTCTCTCTGGACCGCAGGCCGACGCTCTAACTGCTGAGCCAAACCGGCCAGGGCAGGGCTTGTTTCTTAATAATTAGCTTAAATCAATGATCCCAAAGGGCATACTTTGGGGTGGCAAAACTTTGGTCCCCTTTCAGAAGTAATCCTGAGTTTGCAGAGATTCCGTTAGGTCCCCTGGCCGCCACTACCAAAGGCAGAAAAGAAAACCCACACAATTCAAGATTTCCAGTAACCAAGAGTTACAGGGACTTGGGTACTATTAGTCTGTTTATTTATTTGTTTGTTTGTTTTGAATTGATTTCAGAGAGAGGAAGGGAGAGAAAGAGAGAGAAACATCAATCGGTTGCCTCCTGCACGTGCCCCAACCAAGGATCGAACCTGAAACCTGGGTATGTGCCCTGACTGGGAATCGAACCTGCCACCCTTTGGTGCACAGGATGACACTACAACCTACTGAGCTACACCGGCCAGGGCTCGTTTGCTCGTTTTACAAATCGGGGAAAGAAAAGCACAGAGACCCTTAAACAACCTGCCCGAGGTCAGACAGCTGGTAAGGGACGGCCACACCTTCATCCTAGGGCTGAGGAGACTCCCTGTCACCTTGGCATCCGGCTCACCTGGATTCGACTTGCAGCGCAGCTGCGTGTAAGCCACGTGACCTCTTGCGGCCAAGGTCTCTTCAGCTGGACGATAAAACCTGCTCCACCTGCCTCACCGGGAGGGTGCGGAGCCCAAGGAATCATTGCAATTGCAAGTGCTTCACAACAGCTGCAAAGGGCGACAGAAATAAGGAGACCATGATTATTTCTTCGGAGACGTTTCCTGGCTATGCCAGGGTACCCTCAGCACCCTGAGTGGAGAATCAGAACTTGGGCCTGTGCGGCTCTTCAAGTATTGTTTTGGGGGGAAGGGGAAGGAGAGGCGTCACGGACTGGACTCGCGTAGGAGTCCCCAAAGGAACGTCTTGGTGCACTGGCTTCCTGTTCTAGCCCAGGCCCGAGGTTCAGCAGGGCCCCTCTCTCCTGTTTGTCGTAAAACAAACAGGCTCCCAGCTACTTGGGCAGGATTTAACTAGCTATCAGCCGGAGAGATAAGTGGATCATGCTCAACAAGCGAGCTCACCTGGGAGTAATTTGTACCCAAGAGCCGTTTATAATTTATATTTTGAATCCACAGGCAGGGAGCTGTCTTTGCAGTGACTAGGGATGCGATCTCCCCATACTGTGCAGCCCCTTCTGTCCAGGGCTGAGATAACAGGAACCGGAGACTGAGCACTGGGCGTGAAATCACAGTCAAAATGTGTGAACAGCTCATTATTATAAGACTAAAACTTTGAGGGCAGGACCTCTTTGTGTTTTTCTGTTCTATCCTCCTCCCCCACCCCCTTACCTTGCATATCTGTAACACTGAGCACAAAAGCCCAGAGAATGTTTGTGAAATGAATGGAATTAGGGGAAAGAATGCCGAGGTTTTGCAAGTTTCCTAGAGGTCAAGGTGAAGCCTGGTGTGTGGCTTTTCCGAGGGACCAGCATGCTGTGCCCCTAAGTTAGGCTTCTCCCTCCTGGAACCTCACGCTGCATTCAACTCTGTCCAAACTGAGAGGGACCCTATTTCCAAACCCCAGAACCCCAAATTGGGCAACAAGGTTTGACAGAATATTTGAAACCAGAAATCAGTATCCCAATGGAATTTGGGCTCTTCTGTTTGCATTTGGATTTCTAATATCTCCCTCTGCATTTGGGCAGATTTTTCTCAACTCAATTTGTAAGTTGACAGCTTTCCTTACAGTGATTAAGTTGACTCCTAAATACATCTAGGGAGACTCTTGAACTCATCAGGAAGTAGACTTCAAATGAACTCACCTGGTGGCTTATCGGTCCTATTCTGAAGCTTGTCCGTTTCTCCATTTCCTTCTTCTAATGTTCTTCCCAGAGTCCACTAGGCTAACTGTTCACTACCCAGAGCACAGGTTGGGTAAGTGGCAGAGTATGGCCAGGATTCTGCCTAAGGGGACAACCTGAAGATGCTGGGCTAGGCAGAGGGAGCCCTGGGTTCTAATTCCAATTCTGCAGCTAATCCAAGATGTGTTCTTGGGCGGGGGGATCACAGCTCTCTGGGTCTCATCTGTAAAATGGAGGGGACTGGTGGAAAGCCCAGACTCAAAGTCCTATTGACCTCATGCAATTCAAGCGCCCGTCAAGTCAGGGGATGTGAGAATTTGCTTTCCCTCCTGCAGTTGGGGATAAACTGTGTGTGCTACTATCTAAGGCAAACACATTCATGGTCACTGCACCTCCCCTCCCCCCAGCAATGCTCCCTCCACTCTCCTGCATCATCGGCTTTTCCCTTTTTGCTGAATCATTCACATCAGCATATAAATGTACACAAATATGCTATAATTTCACCCATCTTTTTAAAATGTCTCTCTTGACCCAACTTCTCCTCCAGCTTCTCTCTCAAACCCTTTTCGGTGGTCACTTCACAGCTCCACCCAGAATGCTCTTTGTTAAGGTCACCAGTTCTCTCCAGGGTGGCCAAACCAAATGGTCACCACTGGGACTTCATCCTACTTGACTGCCCAGCAGAGATCAGCTGATCACTCCTTCTTCCTTGACACGTGTGTTTTTTTAATTCCGGGCTTTCAGGACAGTACATTCTCTCTGTCATTCTTCAGGGTCTCCTTTGGTAGGTTCTCAACTCCTTCACCTACAAATGTGGGAGGGGCCCAGGGTCAGTCCTTGGATGTGTTCCGGATCTTTCATTAATCTTTTAGTGATCTCATTCAGTCTCGTGGAGTTCAGTGCCACCTGTCTTAGCCTAGTTCCCACTGGAAGCAGAATTTTAACCAAAGGTTTGTAGGCAGATAGTTTATATGAAAATGCAATTCTAGAGAGCAGAAATGAGGGGCAGGGTAAGAAAAACAGAGAAGAAAGGAAAACCAGTTCAAGAATGCACTGATGAGCCCTGGCCGGTTTGGCTCAGCGGTTGGAGCGTCGGCCTGTGGTCCAGAGAGACCCGGGTTCAGTTCCCACTAAGGGCATGTACCTTGGTTGCAGTTTGCCCCCGGCCCTGGTTGGTCATGCGGGTGGCGGCCACTCGATGTGTCCCTTTCACGTCGATGTTTCTCTCTCTCTCTCCCTCCCACTCTATCTGAACAAAATATGGTAAAATGTCCTCGGGTGAGGATTAAAAAAAAAGAATGCATTAATGAGATGACCACCACAATGGGAGACAGATGCTCCACAGAACCTTCTAGGGAGATTCAAAACTCTATCGAGAGAAGAAAAAAGATCACAATCATCCATCAGCTTCCACTCGCCATCAGTTAAGGGTGGCCCACGAGTATCAACCCCTCCATGATTCTAGATTGTACCTAAGGCAGTGCTGAGTTCCGACCCTTGCCCTACGGCCGCTGTGGGCAGGAAGCAAGAAGTACACAGAGCAGGCAGGGGTGAGCCACTGTCAGCTGTGCCCGCTGTGAATCTAGCCAACACCAGCTGCATTACATCAGGCAAGAAGTGGGGCCACGGGGGCTGAAAGTGCTCAGGAGTCTTTCTGACACTTCTATCTCCAGACTGGACCTTCCCCTTTAACTCTGAGCTCAAATACCCACCTGATTACTCCCTATTTCCACTTGGTTTTTCTCCTCAAAACCTGCTCTTGTCATCGTCTTCCCATCTTGGTGAATAGCAACTCTATCTTTCCAGATGTTCCTTCTTTCCAAGCCAAAAGCCTTGAGTCTGCTCCACGTATAATCCCTCGGAATATCATGCTGGCTTTGCCTTCAAAATATATCTAAAACCTGACCACCTCGAACCTCCTCTACTCCTGTCCAAACCACACCACCAGGGCTCATCTGGACTGTTGCAATTACCTCCTAATTGGTCTTCCTGCTACTTGCTGATCCTATTACAGTCTTTTCTCCACGAGCAGCTAGTGAGCCTTTCCCAACGCAAGTCAGATCATGTCACTCCGTGGCATTTCCTTCCCTTCCCTGCTTTGTTTCTCCACAGTACGTATCACCATCTGACCTCATATATACTTTACGTATTTACTTTGTCTATTGTCTCTTAAAATATATATATATATATTTTATTGATTTTAGATAGAGGAAGGGAGAGAAAGAGAGAGAGAGAGAGAGAGAGAGAGAGAGAGAGAGAGAGAGAGAGATGTGATTGCTTCCTGCATGCACCCCAACCAAGGATTGAACCCAAAATCTGGGTATGTGCCCTGACCAGGAATCGAACTCACCACCTTTCCGTGTATGGGACTCTGCTCCAATCAACTGAACCACACTGGCCAGGGCTGTTGTCTCTTTCTCTTAGAATGAGGGCAAGGATTTGCATCTACTTTATCCCCACTGCCTGGGAGAGTGCGTGGTGCCTGGGGAAACACAATGACTATTTGTTGACTCTGGTTTGAGCCCCTGCACTTTACAGGTGAGGAGACTGTAGCTCAGAGATGTGACTGTTCTAATTATACTGTGAGGCCTTCTTGAGACTCCTCTGCCAGTGTTCCGATGACTGGTCTCCATTCTCAGCAACATTAATTGTTAGTTATTATTATGGACGTTGGCCCTCCAGCCAGCCTGAATGGTAGTTTGCAATCAGGCTCAAATACATTTCATGAGAAATCAGCAGAGAACAATTCCTAGCCGTGGAAGCTTGAGTACGCCATGGCCGCGTGATGGAGAGGGAGCAGGCACCAAGGGAGGGGCCTCCAGGAGAGGGGCACTCTCTGGGGTGTCCTGACAGAGGTGCCGCACCGGGGTCCCCGAAGGCGGAAGTGAGCATCTCAGGTGTGGGAGCATCAGGAGTGAGGAGACAGTCACGAGTCCCTGTTGTGTGCCGCGTCTGCCCCTACGTCAGTGGAGCGGAATGGCTAGAGTGGGATGACCTTGGGTTTGACCTGCGGGGCTGAATTCTGTTCGCCGTGTTCTGGAAGTTACTTAACGTCTCCGAACCCTGATTTCCTCACCTACGAAATGAGGAAGATGATATCTACCATAATGAGTTGTGAGGATTACGTGAAGTAACGTGACAAAGTGCTTAGTAGAGTGACACAGACCAGCAGTAAGTGGTACCAGGGTTATTCCTATGATTATTTGACCCGGTCATAGGAATAGGCAGCCATAAGTGCCTGGCCCATCAGGAGAAAGTTGTGAATGGCCGGAGGGCTGTACTGAGGATGGTAACTGTGGGGCCAGATGATGGAGGACTCTGACTGCCAAGCTGGTTTTGGCTCTGTGAAGTTACTAAGGGCTCTTGCCCAGGGAACACACAGAACACCCAGCGCCTGTGACAGAAGAGAACCCAAAGGCCAAAGGACCAATGGGAAAGACCACCCTGACATTACCCAGCCCCTCCTCAGGTCCTGCACCTGTCCCCATCCATGCTGTTTCCTTGTCCCATTGTGGTGACATGTTTCAGGTCTCTGTATCCCCTGGAAGGTCCTTGAAGGCACGGACCAGGGGACAGTCATCTCGTCAGAGCTTAGCAGAAGGCCTGGCACAGAGCAGGGCTCCATGAGTGTTTGTTCAAGTCCTAATAACCTGCAATGACCCAGAGTGACTGCTATGGCAATGATCCAAGTGTGTGACGATGAAAGCTTGGGTAGGGATAGTGACAGTGAGTGGGGTCAAATCACAGAAAACCTGGAGGGAGAGGCAGACATTGTTGCAATGATTCTTTTTATGCAGAAAACAAGACTTGCAACTCAGGCTAAGAGGAAAAATCTGAGTCCCAAGTTCGCTCTGAGATCTCGGTCCTTGGGTAATTTTTAATCGTCCTGTGGACAAAGTGGTGCGCGTGTCAGAAATGGGGGCAGACAGTGCACGAGGGAACACGTGAACGCGTGCTGAGCACTGGAAAGCTGTGAACCGAGCTCCGCCGTCCAGCGGGTGGTTGAGCCGGGACGTGTCATTTGCCCTCTCTGAGGCTCCGTTTAACCTAGAAAATGGAGATGATAGTGTCCGCTCCACTTTCCAGTGGAAAGGTTGTCGAAAGGATCTGTGGGGGCTAAAAAATATTAATACTTTTCCTCCTACCTTCTAAGTCCTTCTGCCAGGCTAACTATCAAATCAACAGAGAAAATCAAAGTTTAATACTGGTGCATGGGAAATTCACAGAGGCATCAAAATTCCAAAGACAGTGAGGCGACATCGGGTATATAAGACTGTTGGACAAAGGAGAAAGGGGGGGGGGGCATTAGATTTCAGAAGTGAGATGGACTTACAGGTAATTGAGGAAGAGTGGAATACACGTGGCAGGAAACCCTTGCTACTCAAACAGTGGGGAACGAGGAGGTATCTAGCTAACAGGCCGCGGCCTAAAGCCCTCCTATTTGCCACACTTAGTTCAAATTAGGCTAAGGCAGCACCGTAAGGTCTCCTTTTTGGAGCAGGTTCCTCTGAATCTTTTGGGAAGGAAAGGGGGAAGGTCAAAGGTTCTGAGTCTTTTGTTTCTTAATAAACAGTTTAAAATCAACATCCCCCAAAGCAGCTTCAGGGTGGCAGAATTTTGGTCCCTTCAGATCAAATAGATTGGGGATAGTCAAATATTTGGAAACTGTCAAGTGTTTAAAAAAATGAAAGCGGTGTTAATAATATGGTTGTGATTATTTTCCCCGCCTTATTCTCTATTTAAAATTATGAAGGGGCTGGTTTTGAATGCTTAAGCTAGTTCACTTCACAAACACATATTGGGTTTTTTCTTCTTCTGTTAAAAGGAGAAGTTATGATCTTGGTGACTAGGTAGCCTGGCCGATGTGGCTCAGTGGTTGAGCGTCGACCTATGCACCAGGAAGTCGCCGGTTCGATTCCTATTCAGGGCACATGCCCAGGTTGTGGGCCCGATCCCCAGTGGGGGCATGCAGGAGGAGGCCAATCAATGTTCTCTCTCATCAATGTTGCTATCTTTCTTTCTCTTTCTCTCTCTCTCTAAAATCAATACAGAAAGTCCTGGCTGGTTTGGCTCAGCGGATAGAGTGTTGGCCTGCAGATCAGAGAGACCCAGGTTTGGTTCCCGCTAAGGGCATATACTTTGGTTGCAGTTTGTCCCTGCCCCAGTTGGGGTCATGTGGATGGCAACCAATTGATGTGTCTCTCTCACATTGATGTTTCTCTCTCTCTCTCTTCCCCTCTCTCCCTCCCGCTGCATCTGAAGATAAATGCAAAAATGTCCTTGGGTGAGGATAAAAAAAATAAATAAAATCAATAAAGAAAAAAATAACCCTGGCCGGTTTGGCTCAGTGGTTAGAGCGTTGGCCCAGGGGCCAGAGAGTC